TTTTCCCTTTTAGATTATTTTTGAAATTTTTTTAGCAGTATGAAATATACCCTCCGACGAAGGGCTAACGCTCGAAACGACAGCTTCTATAATCGTAACGGTGGCCAATTTACCATTTCAACTTTGTTGATATATTCAAATTATACCATTTCATTTCTTTAGTGATGTGTAGGTCCACATCAGCCTTCCCGACAGTCAATTTGTAACCTGCATTACCAAATAAAGATGATGATGATATCGTGACAAACCAACCAATGACCACTGGAGTGTCACATGACGAAATATTTTTCTCCATTTGCAATTTTGCTTTCGATTTTTGAAATATTCTTGGATAGCAAATTTTTTTCGATTTTCATGAAAGTTATTTGTAGATCTATGATTTATACTAGGTTATCTAGTTGTTTCCTCGATTTGACAAACTTCAAAGGCGAATTGACTAACTGATATCGATTCTGAATACTTTTAAGGATTTGCAAAATATTTTTGGGACCTCATTTTATGTCAATCAAATCATGTGACTTACCATTCAACTCACTGACATCAACTCACTGACTAAAACGTCAGTATCACACTCGGTATTGCATCGATTCGAAAAAACTGTATCGGCCCATCCTAACTGACTGCGTGGGGTCCCAGGGGCACCAAAGCCTTTCTGTTAGGCCCATTAGACGTCCCAAAATAAGACATCCCGCAAGACTTAGTACTAAGGTTTACGTATGCTTTAGGATATGTCCTAGTTAACATTGTTCTACCACGTTAAACCGTATCTACCCGAAATTAAACTTGTTCCACAGGGTTAACTTGGATAGATGTGGGTTAAGGTGGCTAACTTAGGAAAGATGACGGTTGACGTGGTCGAACAAGGGTAACTTGGGGTAGATGTTGATGAATGTGAGCAAATTTGGTAGATGTGAGTTGACGAGATAAAACGAAACTAACTTTTGGTAGATGTGGGGAAACGTGGTAGCTTAGGGTAGATGTGGTTGAACAAGGTGGAAGACGAGTGTTTTTTCAGTATTTTAATGAAATTTCATTTCAAAATTAACCTTACATTACTTCGAATTCAAGATTGATTTGGTACTTCCCTAAATCAATTGTCTCTCCTTTTGTGGTATTTTAGAACAACGTTTTGATTAATTAAATATCCAGCCTTCTTTTTCAGTTTTTCCTTCAAGTTCTGTGCTCCATTTCGTCTTGAAGTGGTAGAGGTACAGCTTCACTGAGAACATTTCTCTATGTTCAGTTCTTTCCCCCCTGTTTAAGCATAGCGAAGACTTTTGTATTTGTCAGAAAGTGTGGCTACCATTTTAATTCCATTCCGTTATTTTCATTTCCGGTTGTTTCGTTACGTAATATCACGTGACTTATTCTCAAGTGCTTTTAGAATTTGAAGTCCGCGTATGTTGTAGTCCTGGTATGTGTCGCTGTATTCCCAATCAGGGTAAAACAGTTCTTTAACGTGCTTAAGGCACGTTTTTCAGTAAAATGAGTCGCAAAGGTAACAGAAGGGTCGCTTTTTCTACATTGCAAGCGAGAACCAAAACTTTATTAACACCCACTCAAACTTCACTAATCAACAGAGTTCCAAGCTCAAATCTTTTAAAAAGTCGCCATTTGGTGATCTAAAACAATAAATTAGTAGCCAGACAGAGCAGATTGGAGCGCCACTCAATGAAGAAACTGCAGCAGAACCCAGCTCAAATCAAATTGTTTGCCCAGGGGAACCAGGACTGTTTGAGAAAACAGAGATTCTCAGCCAGCCGATAGTAACAAAATGACCGAAAATTATCTACAAGGGAAACACAAGATAATTTGGTTTATCTCCTGAGTTTGTTAAGGACATTAGCCATTCGGCTCATTTTTTGATTGATTATTGATTAGTTCACTAATTTCAGAATGACCTTAGATAGCCACATAGTTACAATGCTTATCTGTTTTTCTGTGTTTCTATTGGTTTTGTAATCGGACCTTTCAGCGTCACCACGCGCATATAAAAGGCAAC